AGGCATATGTACCTCATTTCCAAGACTACATGACGGTGGGTGGAAAAGCTCTTCACACATGCCCCTTTGTATGTGCAGAGATGTCCCTTCTATTGAATGGAGCCAGCCTGAAAGAAGAAGCTTTTAAGAATGCAGAACAAGAGAGTCATGGATGGTCTCTGTCTAGGTTTTTCACACACAGAGCTTATTGGAAAACAACTGCTTTGGGTGTTATAAAAAATCAAGTTTCTCAAGCAATCAAACATTTACAGATTTCCAACAGGAAAATACTGTCATTTGCTCTTGTGCCTGAGTTACTGATGTCCAGACTTCGCTGGCATGGACAACTTTCAAAAGATCTAAATGATTTTAATGGTGTCACTTGGAGCCACAGCCAAAATAAACCAAGAGTATATGTTTATAGTCTGTGTTTTAGACATGTCTGGGGCAGAGGAGCTTTGGAAGCAAATTACTTCTCACTCCTGCATAAGGGTAGTCCTTCAATGTCACTTTTTTTAAAAAAAATAGGTCACTGGCAGGTCAAGAAAGGACAGCAGCCAGGAGAGCTGGGGTAAGTTTTGCACACTGTTCATCTTGGATCTTGAAACAGTCACAAGATGAAAATAGAATATTAGATGCACCATTGAGCTTTATAGCTACAGATGTATCAACACATATGACCATCTTCATATGTGAATATCTGTTATATATACCGACAAAAAATGCAGTATATCTATTGGCATACACCCACATGCAATTATTACACAGAGCATCTATTGAATTAAAACTCTCTGCCATGTGTACAGGGCCGCAGAAGGTATGTGTGCTGATTGTATGAAAAAAGCCCTAATATACGGCACTGATAATTAAATTACGACAGCCATGAAAAAAAAATAGGACACCATCTAGTCAAAGTTAAGCAATTTTGACACCCATTGATTTCAATGGGAGAGAGCTAAGCTCTTAACACACCCACTGATGTCTATAAGTGCTCATGTCTGAGTGGTTTGCAACTAATAATTATTGCTAAATAATTAAAGCTCTGCGGATGTCTGCATCCTTTTCTCTGAGTATATTAAAAAGGATTTCAAGACGAAAGGGAGAGGTGCCTCTTTAAAACATTTAACATGTGTGATGCATAACATGTATGATAGATGTGGGCTTTACGGAACTGCAGCAAACATATTGCAACAGTGTGCGATCCTTTGAGTGGCCAGCGTAATAAATATTAGAATCCGTAGTTTTAAAATAAGTGTTCAGGGCTGCCGGTAATATATTGTGCCTATATAATTCCTTGTTGATGTTGCTATACTGACCTCTTCAGGATATGAAAATTTGGAGCCTTGTTTATTGTTCCCATGCATCTCTCACTCAGGGTACAATGCATAATGTACAACACTTTCTGTCTGAAAGTTTTCCAGGCACTTTGGTTTCTTTTTATAATTTCTGGTGCTAGTAGCCCATATAAAATAGCTTGGGGATAATGATTTCAAAGCTAATCAGAAGAAAGAGAAAGTTCTGAGCACACTGAACTCCTCCAATAAAACCTCTTAAAATCAGGTGGGGAAAGAGAAAATTCCCTCTGTCGTTTAAATGTGAGTACTTTCCCCTCTTTTGGATTTTCCCCTTTATCTTTTTGGAAATCTCACCTAATTATTAATTTGTGCACTAAGATACATAGCAGTTTCAGATGAAAAATGTTATTCTCATAAATGAGTGGACCACAGCTAACCTCCTTTAAAACAATCTGTATATTTAATCCCAGTTATTACTGTACTGCAGCCTGCGACCAGCTGTAGTTAAATTAAAAGTTCATTTGTTCAGTGTCGATTTTATGAGTCTAACCTTTCTCAACTAGGACAGACAAGCTCCTCAAAGGATAATGATACACCCAATGATATAAACTAAACTTGCTCCTTTTCTGCAGTTTTATATGAGAAATTAAATTAATTTCATAAATACAGGACAGCACCTCTCAAGGTTTAGTCTAGGTCGTTTTTCTGCTAAATACAAACGGCTCTCCAGAGCTCGGACAATTTCCTATATTTGTCTGTGACCAACTACAGTTTCTCAATTAGAGTCTGACGCGCCTTTTATACATATATATCATTTTGTAACTTACAGTCCTCTTTGGCCGGCATTCAAAGCTATGCCCTGTGCCTTGTTTATGTTAGAAACAACGGCTCTCTGAACTGCAGCTCTGTTTGTAACTATTTATGGTTTAACAAATGACAAAATACAGAAGACCGAAAAATCTTGGCATGGAAAAAAGGTCTCAGTCTGGTTTATGTTTTCATCTCCTCTCCTCCACGTTTATTGATTGTGTTAACAACGGCAGCATATTCTGTTTTCACACTTTATTGCGTGACACGAGGCAGGTAACTTAGATTTGAAGACAGGAACTGCTTTAAGAGAAAAGTGATTCCATTCACAACACTTCGTACCTATTATTGTGTTTTTCAGGCATGTCCAGAGCTATTTAGACACAAGTCCCTCAGGGATCCTACTAGTTTACCCCTTAGCTAAGGTGCAAAGGATTGCAACCTTACAGCTGAGACTCAAAATTCTGCTACAGGTCAACTTACTGGTACACAATGACCAGCAGACCAAATATTATTTCATTTCTCACTCATTAGGGTTGCTGCCAGAATTATCCAAGATAGGTAGAACTTTCCTTACACCTCACGGTAGTCCCTAAAAACCTTCCACAACAGTGGTCTGGACTAGAATGTTATCCTCTTCACTTGACCATCCCTTCTCTAACTCACAGCTAGGGATGTAAGAAGGAATCATTTTCTGTTCTGCTCTGGATTCCTCATATGCAGCAATGCTTCTATTCCAACGTAGTTCATCTTCTGCCAAACATTGCTGTATATTACTTGTCTCACTGTCTGTGGTGGCCAGCTCTATTTTTCTAGAAAAAGAGGTGCCAGAACTCACCACAAACCCCTGCCTTGCTCTCTTGTAATGGCAATGGTGCCCACCTCAGAGGTGTCAGAACTCAGTTCTGGTGAGTTCTGGCTGAAAAAAAGCCCTGGTTGTGGCAAAATTCTGTAATTTATGTAATTTACAGAGAGATGTTTGAGCGGCACACATTATTAGGTCTGGCTTCCACACTAAAGATAACAATAGGTCATTTTCCTGTGTTCCCATTCCCACATCCCATTATCTTATTTTTACTGACATTTACTGGACCATTTTCACATAGTGAATCTTTATTTTGAATCTTTATTTCCAAGGATCTAAACAACTATGCTTCTGACATGAAAGTAGGAGGCTGATTGAAAAATAAAGGGTTTCCCCAGACATGTTAGATAGTGGGACTTGCCACATAAAGGTGTATTCTTGCAAAGTACACTGTGCATATTATTATTATTATTATTATTATTATTAATTTATTTATACTCTGTCCATCTGGGTAGACTTCCAACAAATGATTAAAAATACATTAAAACATCGGTCATTAAAAACTTCCCCAAACAGGGCTGCCTTCAGATGTCTTCTAAATGTCAGATAGTTATGCTAAAGTTATCTCATGAAAAACAAAGGTAAAAAGAAGTGATACACACACACACACACACACACACACACAGAATTTCCAGATAAGACATTTCTCAGATCTCTGAAGAGAGCTGACTTGAGGTTCCAAATTGCAGACATTATGGAATTACAATGTTCTTCTGTTCCCAAAATATTCCCATTTTTAAAGGTTCTGCTGTAGTTGATTTCAGGCTTCAGATATAAAAAGGAATGTTCTAAGAATAAGCTCTCCGACTGTGGAGCCCTGTTGTTTCCTATTCTAATTCCAGGTAAGTAGAGGCTGGTTGCTGAGCAGATAGGAAAAGGCAGTGATAGGAAAAGACACAAACATACCAAAGCACAATTCTATATTCACAGTCCGTATTAACTGAAAACAACTCCTGAGCCCTAAGCACTGGTTGGCCTTCATTTAGGATAAACCATTCACATAGAGCTTCCCAACTCTGTCACTTGCAAAGTGCGTTTAGATATAAAAGTATTTCTGAAGGTCCTTTATCATTCCTGCCATGACTCCAGATAGTCGGCATGGGAGTCTAATGTGCATTGCTCAAAGTAAACATAAACAGGAGTGGCAGTAAGACAATGCTTTGTGGAAGGGACACGCGGGGGAAGATTTCTGGAAGAAATGGGACATGGGTTACTTCCATGTATGTATCCAAAGATTGCAAGAGCTTGTTTAGAATGCTTTCTTCTGTCCAAAAAACTTCCCTGTAACTTACAGTATAAAATCTGTGTTATAATATTTTAGGACACTTCTGGACATTGTTTTTTATTGTCCATTTATGGTGATTAGTGCTCATGGTGGTGTTGGGGCAGTTATCGGCAATCCTGCTTTCAAAACTGCGCCTGCAAAAGTTTCAAGGACTGATACGCCGCTCTACTTCCGGTTGGTACATATCCCATAGTTTCCTGCAGCAATCCTGTAACTTTCTATCACAGACATTCAGGGTTTGGTTTTGCCCCACTTTTCTTACACTACATTGCAAGAGAGACCCTCCAGTCAGCAATAACACAATATCATTGGGGAAGCATTACGAAACAAATTATAGAGCAAAATGGTGTGTGGACAGCCCAGTATATATCCACCAGTAACATAACATTACTCTGTCAATGACATGTTGCAAAATGAGCATGCAAAAAAAATTTTTTTTTTTCCAAAATTACATCTAGTCTGGTGGGACCCCAGTGCATATTTAAGTCTCACTGTTGATGCTCAGAACGAATCTAAGGAGCAGTGTGTTGTTCCTGGACCTCACCCAAGTGGTGACTGTAACAGAAAAACTGGAGGGACATGTACTAGCTGCCTGCCACTGCCAGGAAGGACAGAATGATGTGCTTAGTGTGTAAGTTGATGTGTAGCCACACTTCTCTTGTTCTGGAAACCACTGGAGGTTATGATCATCGGCTGACACTGTTCCTGGTTTTGTTCCAATGGTCATATATGGTCAAGAACTAAGTCTCTGCATTCTTCACCGCAATGTATTATGATGTCAAGATGATTGCCTGAATCTTCCCAAATGTGTAGGCTTGGATCTAGACTTGGTAAGTTGGGCTTAGTTCCAACTGAAAGCAGATGTAAGCTGCCCAAAGAATTTTGTTGTAGGGGGCAAGAGGCAAATGCTGTGAGTAAATAAATAATGAGACTTATGTCGTGACTAACTTGTCAATGGGGACCAAGTTTAATGAACATTCTGGATCCAATCCATTGAAAAGTCAGAGTTGAGGAGTGACAACTAAGGGACGGTCTTTGCATGTCCTCTCAAGTCACTGTTCATTCTTGATACAGGCATAGAATGATGAAGAGAAACCAGTTGGCTGACTGTGGATCGTACCTTCTGAAATACAGTGTCTGAAAACGATATATTTTAAAAAGTAATTTAAGTGGATTCAGACTTATGAATGCCTTCTAATTCACAAATCATCAATAAAGCAGCATGTTAAACATATGCTGTGATATCTTTCATTCTGGGTGAGAGCCAGCGACATGCCAGGGGATGCAATGGGACTCCCCTGCAGCCCTTGTGCCCCCAATCTGCTTCAGAGGGTCCCCCAACTCTGCAGAGGTAATAATAATAATAATAATAATAATAATAATAATAATTTATTTATACCCTGCCAATCTGGCTGGGTTTCCCCAGCCACTCTGGGAGGCTCCCAGCAGAATATTAAAAATGCGATAAAAGATCAAACCTTAAAAACTTCCCTAAACAGGGCTGCCTTCAGATGTCTTCTAAATGTCAGATAGTTGTTTATTTCCTTGACATCTGGTGGGAGGGCGTTCCACAGGGCAGGCGCCACTACCGAGAAGGCCCTCTGCCTGGCTCCCTGTAACTTCACTTCTTGCAGTGAGAGAACTGCCAGAAGGCCCTAGGAGATCCGAGCAGGGGGCTGCAGGCGAGGAGAGGAACCCCTATTTGCACAAGTGGGGTGCCAAAAATATTGGCTATCACCCCACGTCTTTATTTAGCAGGTGGCAGCTTCCTTATCACCCCTGATTTCAGGGCATAATGAAAGAAAGAGAGCCGAGATAAAGTGAAAGACAAGGCAGCTAATGGCAGTATCATGTAAATAAACTGTCCATTTCAGAAGGGGGCAAAACTGCACAAGGTTGCTGTTACTTCTGTGCATCTTTATGGGGGTCGTGCCCAATTTATTCTGCATGTCAGCACTCGTGTGTGTGATATATATATACATACATACACACAACACCATCTTAGTTTTGGTCACTCATTAAATACAGTGCTCCTCTTGCTTTATCAGTGATATATTAAACTGTCTGCTTTTCACTTCAGCAATGTATTGTCTCTTCACAATTGATATAAATGTTACTGATGGACCTTGACTTTCCAGCTCCTGAGATGGATGTCATATAAATGAGAATGCTTGGGAAATTTGGTGCTGACACAGAATGGTATGATTAGGTGCATAATGTGGGCATCACAATTTGCAATGCATCCTACAGAGAAATAGCAGAGTTCCATGATTTAACAAGGATTGTGGAAATATGCAGCCCTCAACACCATTTATGAATTAATCAGGTGCACAAGCACCTCTTATGAGGACTTCATGCTGAGTAAGGAAGTCGCCTAGGGACATAATACTAAAAGACCCCTACAAAACTCATTAATAGAAACTACATCTCCTTATTTTTAATTTAAATATATAATAGAAAAAGAAACAAGTTATCACTGGTTATCGCTGGATTGGAATTAGAAAATCATATAATGCAAAAATTACAAAAGTTTTAAGGGGGGGGGAACCTTGAATAAATACATATTTTAAGGGTACACCACACCAATTCCACCATGGAAATGTCAAAAAGTTATATTTGTTCAATGATGAAAATATCGTTGCTGTGCTGGGCACTTATTTTGATTATAAAAGCCTTCATTTTATTGCCGTCGTAGGTGCAGGCATTTTGTAGCAAGCACAATTCACCTAGGTGAAATTTAAATAACCATTAAATACAATAAATGGCTGTGCCCAAGTATTACTGTCTTTGGAAACTGGAGGTGAGAGAGGGGAAGAGGTAAAATGTTTAGTATAACCTTTTGGTGCTAGCCTCAAAGCAGCCAAAGTTGTGTGAAGTCACTATATTTTTACGTAGCTATTAAGGAAGTACGTTTAAATGCTACCAGGCAGTTCAGATAATATAAAATTTCCAATACTGCCTTCGACTCGAGTCAAGGGTACACTTTAAGAGTTATTAGCACCCAGCAAAGTGTGTTAAGTCTGACATTCATGATGTCTCAGTTATTAAATAGATACCAGTACACGTACTGATTTTCTTATAAAACTTAATAATGATAATGACCTTTCCGTTTAGAATCAGGCTTTCAGCGCGGAAAACACTGACAGATTTATAGAATTTAATGCTAGACACAAACTGCAGATCATTGTCAGGTTTTCCCATATAGAGAATTTGAAATGTATTTTTCACTCTTGGTCTTGAACATTTCATGTGTCATAATGACCATCAAATGTATATATTTCTATGCATAGCTAGCATAATCGACGTTACACTCAATTTATCATTTGATTTATTGCCCCTCTGCACCACTGCATTATTCCACTGAGATTATCTGCACACTATAATGCCTCTTAATAGAAAAGATGAGGTGATTCTGTCAGAGAATCGACTGCCATTACTAAACAATTAGAGATGTTTTGGTTTATGTCCTGTGCTCCTCAGATAAATTTGCTGTAATACATACCATAGCAATGGGGAACATAGGAGATGTCCCTGTTACACTCATTTCCCCTCCACCACAAGAACCTGGCTGTGGAGAATTTTTCTCTCGAGGCCTAAATTGAGAGATTGTTGTGACTCAACACATGAGCTAATATACTGGCACATAAGTACGTGCCATCAGATTCTAGCTATCTAATAAAGCAGCATGGTGCTCTATTTTTTTTTATTTGTTTAAACAATTTATCTACCACTTAACTACAATGGTCTTTGAACAGTGTATAAGAAATAAAATACAGAAATGATAAAAATTGGTTAAAATGGGGGGGACGGGACACCAAACAGATTTCAATTAAAATGCCTGCTGGAATAACAACAACAACAACAACAACAACAACAACAACAACAACAAAGGTCTTCAGTAAGCGCCAAAATTTCAATTGGGAATTGGCCTGTCTAATCTCAGCCATAAGGAGTCTGTAGAATTTGACCCACAATACTGAATGCATGGGTCTTAGTGGATATGAGCCACATATCTGACCTATGGTGGACCACTAAGCGTGACTCCCCCCAAAGTCTCAGTGACTGAGAAGGAATATAAGGATTATATAATTCTATAGACCAATTTATCATATAAACGAAACATATTATCAGAAATTAAAGTCCAGCAGGTTGTCCTTGTTGTTAAAGGCCTTGTAAATTAAAACAAGAACATTGAACTAGGCATGATATCATATGGGTAGTTGGTGTGAGCTTTTGAGAACTGGAGATATGTGCTAGGCAGTGATGGATTAATGGCCATTGGCATCAGTTCAGCAAAGGATACCAGGCAGAAATGATCTGGACCAGTTAGACTCCACTGCTTATTCAATTGGCACAAAAGAAATATGGTGCAAACCTATGCACAGCTTTCTTAGTAATATACACCTGTTTAGTGATAAATTCTGCAGTGTGGAAGCTCATCATGACAACACCCCCCAATCACGTCCAACCTGGAAGAGTCCATAGTCACACCTCTAAGAAGAGTCTAAAATGTACAGTGCTGTGATTATTTAGATATATTTCTCACCCAAGGAGAAACAATACATAATGCCAATCTTATGAGGTCAGCAGAAATTGATAAAATATTATTTTAACAACAACAATCATCACCACCACGAACATCGTACACCGCCCATCTGACTGGGTTGCCCCAGCCACTCTGGGTGGCTTCCAACATATACAAAAAGATAATAAAACATTGGACATTCAAAACTTCCCTATAGAGGGCTGCCTTAAGGTGTCTTCTAAAGGTTGCTTATCTCCTTGGGAGGGCATTCCACATGCTAATCTGCACAAACAACAGTCAACCCCCAAAGCCCTTTAATCATCTCATTCGCTTCCCAGAGCAAGAAGGGCCCATCAATCACCTTGATGCTCCAACAGATCAAAGTGGGGTAAGGGGGAAGAGTGGGGGGACAGCAGCAGCAGTGGGAGATGCCAGTGAGTGGGGTCCTGAGTCGTACACATTTACTGCCCCTGACCCTCCACTTCGTGGGGCCTTCACTGAAGTTTGCCTACTGGGTGGATCAGCTCTGGCAACACTATGCCAATCCTCAAAAGCACATTTAGCAACATGCTTAAAAATCACAGAGTGATATACTGAAACAAGCCCATGCATAACCTTTGCCATGTTCTCTGGCAAATGTACAAGCTTGGACTACAATGTCTCTCTAGAGGAGAACTGAGATGAGTGGGCTTATTGGTTCGCTTTCACAGTGACCATCAAACTATATTACTGTTTTTCTTTAGGAAAAAGAAACCCCGGTTAAGAAATAAGAAGTGTGCTATGAAATGTATTGCTTAAATTGTACTTTCCCAGAGCAAAGTCTTCATGTTACTAATGAGCCAGTATGCAGGAGATCATGAAATAACACTGTGCTGCTATTGGCTGCTGATGCCCCCAAAGGCTCGAAGTGAGTATGTTTCTCTGTTACGGTTTGGCCCAGGAAATGTTATGTGTCCACAAGTCTCCTTTCAAAATGGCCACATCAGCTCGAATCCTTTCAAGAAACTCCTTGATGGGCTATGTTTACATAATTACATAAAACAATGTAATGCTGAAGATCTGGAGGCACAACCTTTTATACTAACATCATGACTGTAAGAAGCAAAGAACAGTAAATACTTGGGTTTCAAGGAACTGGAGAATGTAAAAATATTGAACATATTATGTTTGAGAGGAGCCAGTTTTTCTTGGGCTTTGCAGAGAAACTTATGAGTTCTCTTGTTACAGACACTCGGAACTGCTAACTACCAAGAGGCAATGTGGTTTTCACTGTGTTGCATACTATCGAAAAATGAACCCTATCCTTTAGCTATTCATAGTGTTATATTCCTGTGGCTGAAAGTCAAACATAAGAAATACCAGATCAGGATTAACTGTGCCTTGAAATTAATGAGTGAACCTATTTACAGTGTGGGTATTCAGGCAGAAGATGTACCTTAGCCTAGCTGGTAAATATCCAGCACCCTAGATAGCAGAAACTATAGGAGGTCCAAATGCAGCTGGGCTGGCTTAACACATTCGGAAGTACATGGAGCTATGCATGTTGCCATCCAGATAATATTCCCTTCCCATAAGACCATTAAGCCTGGAGACTAAAATTATCTAATTGCACCTTTGGCCCAGATTCAGCAAGAGCAATCGGCACACTGAAGTAGACTTCCGATAATGGATCTCAGGGATGGGTCATTCTATATGCAAACACTTGCCTCAGGTTGTTCTCCTTTCCACATGCAGCCCCCAAAAGAATTGGAGAGGAAGAGCTCTACCTATGGGCCTCCCCTCTGCCTGTGTCTGTCAAACAATTGGATAGGTGCTATCAAAGATGGCAGCATCAATATCTTTTTAGCTGTGAGCAACTTGTGTGTAACAGTATATACACTGGTTGACAAATTTCTTTATATGTATTTTTAGGCTATCTGAATGGCATGCACACACACACACACACACACACACACACACACACACACACACACACACACACATAGAACTTTTTTCCCACTGAAACTTGCCAGAACTCAGTTCCAGCACCTCTCAGTTGGGTGCCATTGCCATTATAAGAGATCAAAGGAGGCATTCATGGTGAGCACCTCTTTTTCTAGAAAAATACTACACATGTGTGTGCGTGTGTGTGTCTAATTGCGTACAATAGGAAAGAAAGATACAAACATATGACAATACGTGTTGTCAGGTGCTGGCGTGGTTGCTGGAGAGCGAACAGGCAAGACTCCCACCGGTCTTTTCCAGGTTTTATTATCTGTACGAAACCTTTACAGTGCAGAGCGTCTCAAGTCCATGTCTGCTCAGTCGCTAGCAGAAACTGGGAGTGGGCGGTCCTTAAACTTTCCCCAGCATAGCAGTCTTTTGACCCCAATCCTACGCCTTCCCTCTCTGCGTGTAAACCGACTGCGCAGAGAGGGCGTGGGCAAAGGGGGACCTGCCTCCCCCTGGCTTTGCTCAGGCTCGGTGTTGCAGCTCTCTCTAGCATCTTCCGAGCCCTGCATCCCTTCCCCACTGGAGGCGGGGCCTCCCTCCTCTCCAGAGGAAGAGCTGCTTCGCATGATCTTCGGAGGCTCCCTGTAACCCAACTGCCCTTCCACCTCTCACCTCTGAGATGATGGCAGTTCCCTGACACGTGTGTTAAAAAAAGAAACAAGTAATGACACACAAACAAGTAATGGCATTTGTTTAGGACAACATCGTGTCCCCACTGGAGATTATCCTTGGGAAAGGTTTAGAGCTCAGTGGTAGAGCATGCAGCAGGTTGCAGGTTCAACCCCCATCATCTCCAGGTAGGGCTGAGAGAGACCCCTTTCTGAAATCCTGGAGAGCCACTACCAATCAGCATAGCCAGTACTGAACTAGATGGACCAATGGTCTGTCTCAGTATGAGGCAATTTCCTGTGACAATCTGTCAATCCAGGATACATCAGGTTTGGTAACCTTGAAATTCAAGTGCTCTGTTTATCTTTGCAGCGCCGCTTACTGGTGTTCACATGTATCATGTGACAACTCACTACAAATGTCATGGATGGGGAAGGTGTGTAACACCAAGGAGAAAAATGAATAATCAAAGCACCAACTTATATTTGTTAAAATAAATTAAAGTGACAGAAAACAGTTTAGTAGTTTAAGAGTTAGAAGGAATAACTGAACACCTGTAAATTTCTTCAAATTAAAGGGAACTATTGTACTTTCAAGTCATCCCCTCGTGCTCAGTCATTGAAGAACACAGAGTTGCGCATAGATCAGAGGACCACAGTTCTAGCTCAGCACAACAAGGTGAGCGAAACGCTACCTGCCTGCCTTTTGTTAGTTCATGTCACAACCTTAAGATTACTTTCTGATGATGAACTGCTGCCAGGGCATTGAAGCCGCTGTTTGAAAGAGCTTTAAGATTGTGAAAGCCCAGAGCCCAATTGCCTTATCCAGCATTAACAAACTATTTTGAAGGGTGGGTGGAAAGGCACGAACCTGTTCACATGAGATCTCATAGCTGATCAAATCCAAATGTATTGGGCAGCTAATTTAATTTCCAGAGGGCATGACAGAATGCCCCATTGACAAGAGAGCCTCTCGCCTCATACTGACTCTGTCTTTCATGGATGTTTCATTTATCAGCATCCTCAAGCAGCTAAAAATGAGAAGAAACCGAAAGACAAAATTGAAGAGAGTTGCCCTACTATGTGACTGGCTTCTTGAAGTTATTCTCCAAAGCCACCGCCTGGCCGCTTCCAAGTCTGCCTACCCATTGCCCTTGACAATGTGCTCTTGATGCTTTTCAGCTGCATCGATACCCTGAAAGCCAAACTAGATGCGATGTTAATTGTGAGAATGCAATACATTTTTTTCTGTTATGAAAACAAAAACCACTGGCAAAGTCTGATCAATGGGAGGTTCCCTTGAAATATAAACAGTAGCTTTGAAGAGGTGATTTTTGTCAAGGCTGTGAAAGGGACACAGAGAGTTAAATTTCTCTCCTCTTCCCTATCCAATAGTTCCAAGACTGCTCAGGCTTACCCACAAAGGCCATTTACACAGATAGTTCGGGAGTTGGATAATTCCATACCCTCCACATTTCTCCAATGAAAACAGGGACATCCTCCCATACCCTCCAACATTTCTCCAGTGAAAATAGGGACATCCTAAGGAAAAGCGGGACATTCCACAATCAAAACAGAAACTGGGATGGCTTCTCTAAATCAGGGACGTCCCTGGAAAACAGGGACACTTGGAGGGTCTGAAATGGCCTGTTATGGCCTTGCAAGAACCATCCACTTCTAGGGCAATATTTTCCTGACAAAAGTTGCTCCAGCTGGCCATTCCCATTTATTTTTTAAAAATGCACTGCCTTTCTCTTAAATTCAAGCAATCAAATGTAATGTTCCGTTCACAGAATTCATTATTTTCCCCTTTTATTTAGGTTCAAATAAACTGATCTCTGGGATATTTGTTTATATCCCATGTAATGGAGCATTTTAGTTCATGGCCTAGGATGCAATGAACTGCTATTAAATATGTAAGAGAGGGGAGGGAAACACTGCTAAATATTGAAACTTTTAATTGAAACTGATAGCTGATATTTTTACAGTTTCACAATCCCACTGTCATAAATGCAGTTTCAGTGCGGGATCCATTCCCTGATTTAATTGGCATTATCTGCTAATGCCAAGGCAGAGCAGCATATTTTAAAATGTCGAGATGGATCGACAAGGAGACAGATATATACAGAGGTGGACAAGATGAAAAGAGAAAACAGGATACTGATTGCACAGACTAAAGTCTGATTTCCAGTTATTTCCCAGAGCCAGGCTGTGCATAATCTGAAACAGTTGCCCTTAAAATTACAGGAGACAACTGCTAAATAAATAAAGGGCCATAAAATAACATAAAATAGAGCATCACTGTTGGATGGAATAAAATATCAATTTGCCATGTGTTATTAAAGCGTGTTCTCATAAAAGAGAGAGCACGTGTTGCGGATGGGGCCAAACAAAACCCCCTGTTAGTGACCAGGCCATTGATGGCAATGGGCTGGAGCAGATTGGATGATGCTGTTACTGGGGTAAATTTGATGTTGCCAATTTAGGGGTGGGATTAATGGTTATATATAAGCAGGGTCCACAGCTTTCTCTTTCTCTTTCGCTGTGGACACCGGATCTTCAGTACCGGGGTGAATCAGCGAGAGATCTTGGTTGTATAAATCCTCTGATTCTCCTCTTTTTCTTTTAATTTTCTCCTCATTATTTTAATTGATATATCCCTGCTAATTTAATTTGATTTCTTTGTGGCTTGCTTTCTTCCCTTTCTGGCGGCAGCCTTAGGCCGCCAATAGGGGCGCCCGCCGTCGGGCGGCCTGTCTAGGGCCTGACTGTGGTCTTTGTTAATACCCCCCTCCAGCTTCGTCGCGGCCTAGGCCGCAGCTGCGGGGACCCTACTGGGTCCTGGGGCTAGCCGGCTTTGGGCCTCTTCGCCAGGCCCCCTCCTAGCCCCCGTGAGCTCCCCGGTCCCTGATTCCTTGCCCCCCCCCTCCCCGGTCACCGCGCTTCTGCGGCGGGCGCCGCGGTCGCGCGCGGCGGGCCCGGGCCGGCCGGCCCCGCCGCGTCTACGATCCCCTGCTCCACGGGGATCGTCTTGCGGCCTGCTAGGCCCGACTGGGGGCCTCCGCGGCCTCGGCCGCTCTGCCGGCTTGATCCGGCGGGCGCTCGAGGCCTCGCGGCCCGCTCGGCTCGGCGGGGGCTTTCCCGCCTTTGATTACTTTCCCCGGCTGGGGGTCCGCCCTGGAACGCGGCGCGGCGGCGTGGCCGACCGCTGAGGCCGACCCCCCGCGGGCGGCCGAGGCTCCGGCCCGGCAGCGCCGGGACCGTCCTCTGGCTGGGGCGGCCCAGCCGGGTGCCTGCGTGGCCGCGGCGGCCTTACCTCCTGGGGCCTTGGGGTGCCGGCGCCGTTGCGGCCTGCTGGGCTGAGCTGGGGGAGGAGGGCTTCCGTGGGCGGCAGCCCCCTCCTGTTCCTTTCTGGGGGTGAGGGGCCGTTCGGGCCTCGGAACCCCTGTGCTTTGCCCTGGTGGGCCTCTTGCAGGGTGCTGGGGTCGGCTCTAGCTGGCATTTGAGCCCCTATTGCCCCTTCGCAGTTGCGGAGGCATCCCTTCACCCATTTTAGGGCAAGATAGGCGGGAGCGCCATTTTGCCTTTGTTTCTGTCGACTGGCGGCCTCTTGTGGCCAGACTTATAATTACAGGCTTTTCAGAATCCGAGGGCCTAGCAATAGTGGAGGCCTCTAGTGGCCGGACCTGGTAAGTGCAGGATTTTTCAGACACTGAGGGCCTAGATCTGGTGGAGGCCCCTAGTGGCCACTGTGGTATTGCAGGCTTTTGAACTACTTCCTGCTACTTGGTGCTGCTTTCTCATTTAATTCTTTAATAATCTTATTACTTTCCCCCTAATTTGGTGATTTTCATTTTATTTTATTTTAATTTAAATTTATTTTCTTTTACACCAGTAGTAGGGATGGCCCCAAGGAAGGCAACAAGGAAGTCTGGTCCGGCCTGCTCTGCAAAGCGGCCTATAAGAGGCCCGTCGCAGGCCTTACGTTCTCCTGATCCTGGCCAGTCGGTGGAACGCCTTCAATCCATGGTCTCTAGTTTGGCTGGTGACCCGGTGGCTCTGGCAAGGATGGAGGCGGAGCTCGAGGGTTTGATGCACCGCCGCTCAACCCCGTCGACTTCTTCTGCGACGCTGGCTCCCCCTGCGGTCGCTTCATTTCCACCGTCATCATCCAGTGAAGAAGAAGGGGAGCCATTGCCGGCCAGTGGATACTTACCTGACACGCGACAGGCTCGGTCCCAGGTTCTGCCTGCGTCGCAGGTTGCCGTGCCACGGGTCGGGCTCCTTCCAGGGTTGGGGCCAGAAAGAGGGCACCTGCCCGGGGTCATGTTGTGCGGGGTTCACCTGCGCGGCCCACAGTTGGGGGGAGTTCGATCCCTGGTCATTCACAAGTTGTGTCTTTCCAGTCACTTCCAGCCATTCCGCATCAGGGCGATGCATCAGAGTCGTCGGTCGAGGACAGCCTCCCTCTTCCTCCGAAGACCTCTTCGGGCGGTCATCGCCGCCGCAAGAAAAGCTCTAGGAGGCGTGCCAAGAGGAGACGTAGAGACACCTCGTCCTCTTCATCAGGTGCGTCTTCCCAGAGTTCCAGTAGTGACGAGGAAGCGCCCTTAAGTTATACTGGGGTTTCGGAGAAGCCTCGGGGCTCCCAAAATGGGTTTGGGAGCGGAGGGCGAATTCCCATAGGGCCAGGTATGGAGCAGTGCAAGACTGCCTCGACGGGGTCCCGATGCCTGATGTAAAGGTCTCCACCAACTCGGCCAGGGATATTATACCGGGGCTCACCTGTCAGCTAAATTGCGTTCCAGGATACTGGATGGCCGCTATGTTGATATATTCAGCCTAGCCCCTCCGTTAGAAGGCCAGGACCCCTGGATAGGGGCCCGCCTGTTACTAAGAAGCGGACGGTCATAGCAAAGGCTGATAGGACTTTTGAGCGATGGTTAGATAGTTTCCAGGTTTTTGCTGGAGTTGTGGCTGCGGCTTATCCTAGGAGATCCTTGCATCTATGGGTGTATCTATCCATAGTCCGTTCCGCCTTCACAATGGCCGGAGAAACTGCTGCGCTAGCTTACGACCAGAATTTTAGGCGTAGGGCGGCCAAGATCCCCACGGCCCGCTGGGATCGGAAGGACTTGGATGTCTGGACCACTTATGTGGCCCCCCGTATTGACAAGAAGGTTCCTGATACCCAGAAATTCAAGGTTGCCTCGACAAGGTTAGGCCGTAAGCCGTTCTGTTGGGATTTCAATAAGGGCGCTTGTACACGGCAATCCTGTAAATACGCACATGTGTGCGACAAGTGCTCAGGGAGCCACTCCGCGTCCGCGTGTCTGGGAGGTCGCCGCCCCTTTCGGAAAGGAGGGGGCTCTCAGCAGCCCCCGAAAGCCGCTTCCCAAGTCCCTGCCGCGGGAGCAGGGAAGTAGTATGCTTTCCTCCTTGGCTTATACCCCGGTAAGGCTGCAACCGCTACTATCGTTGTTGGAGTTATACCCTGATGCCAAATCGGCGTCCTACTTGCGTGACGGTTTTTCTTTAGGTTTTAGAATCCCGGTGGTCTCTACCCCGGTTGCCAAGAACCCAGCGAACCAAAAATCAATTAGGGATATGCCTGAAGTGGCGCGTAGGAAAATTGGTAAAGAACTAGCTTTACGTCGCATGGCCGGTCCTTTTGCTGCCCCCCCTTTTCCCAATTTGCATATTTCACCTTTGGGTATAGTTCCCAAAAAAGCTCCGGGGGAATTTCGCCTAATTCATAATCTCTCACATCCTAGAGGCACGTCAGTAAATGATGTGATTCCCCCGGAGCTTTGTTCGGTAAAGTACGCTTCTCTTGATCACGCGATCAAGATGATTCGGAAATTCGGGCCGGGCGCCTTATTGGCAAAATGCGACATTGAATCAGCATTTCGGCTGCTCCCAATTCATCCTGACGATTTTTGGTTGCTGGGATTTCAGTTCGAAGGCGGATTCTACTTTGATAAGGCTATGCCCATGGGCTGCTCAGTTGCCTGCGCGGCCTTTGAGTGTTTCAGTTCATTTTTGGAGTGGGCCTTGCGTGAAAAGACCGGCCTGAGAGGTGTCACGCATTATCTCGATGATTTTTTGGTCGCCTCGGCTGGCAATACGGGGGACTGCGTAGTGTTATTGCAGGCCTTCGCTTCCTTAACGGAAGATCTGGGTGTCCCTTTAGCGGCTGGGAAGACCGAGGGTCCTTCTACGCAGCTGACTTATCTGGGTATCTTGCTAGATACCGTGGCTCAAACCTCCAGCTTGCCGCCCGAGAAAATAATCAATTTGAGAAAGGTTATTGAGGATATGATTCCCTTAAAGAAGGTTTCCTTGCGGCAGCTCCAGTCGTTGCTGGGCCATTTGAATTTCGCTTGCAGGGTGGTTTCCCAGGGCGACCGCTTTGCTCCCGCTTGGCCAGACTTACCTCGGGTTTACAGGCCCCTCATCACAGGGTGCGCCTTCCTGCTCAGGTAAGGGCTGACCTTGCTATTTGGTTGGAATTCTTGGAGGAATTCAATGGGGTGTCCTTGTGGCAGGACACCTTGAACCTCCACAACGACTTCCAGGTGCAGTCTGATGCTGCTGGGTCCTTGGGGTTTGGCTTGTACTGGGACGGCAGGTGGTGTGCTGAGCGCTGGCCTCCTGCTTGGCGGGGGCAGGCTATAACTCGGGACCTAACATTTCTTGAGTTTTTTCCCATCGTAGTGGCAGTGCACTTGTGGGTCGAGCATTTTAGGGATCATCGAGTTTGTTTCTGGACTGATAACCAGGCGGTGGTGAATGTACTGGCCAAGCAGTCTTCACGGTCCCCTAGGGTATCTGCCCTTCTTCGGGCCTTCGCTTTGCATTGCTTGCGTTTTAACATTGTGTTTTCTGCTCGTTTTGTCCCGGGAATTTCTAATGAAATTGCTGATGCTCTGTCCCGTTTTCAGATGGAGCGTTTCAGGTCCCTGGTGCCAGTGGCTCGAGACCGTCCGGAAATTTTCCCGGATCATCTCTGGAACCTTGGCAGAACTTAGTCTTACAGGGAGTAGCTGCATCTGTTGCACCTTCTACCTTGAGGTCCTATAAAAAGGCCTGGGCGGACTTTTTATTATTTAGTGGGCAGTCTGCGGGGGAAGTTACCACCTCCCATTCCACCTCTCAGGTTCTCCGGTATCTGGCACATCTATTCCAGTTGCGTCGGGCAGCCAGGACCCTACGTCTGCACTCGGCAGCAATTTCCTTTTTTAATAAGGCATATTTTAACAAAGACCCGTGTGGGAAGTTTGTAGTGCGTAGAGCCCTAGAGGGATGGGGGCGACTCACTCCTTTCAGGCCCATTTCCAGACGCCCCATTACATTTGAATTGCTGGCGCAGATGCGGTCTAAGCTGCGGAGCATCTGTTGGTCAAAGTTTGAGGCTCGGCTATTTTCAGCAGCCTTTTCGTTAGCTTTCTTTGGGGCCCTGAGAGTCGGAGAGGTGGTCCTTGAGCCCAAAAGGGACGGAGGTTCAAGGGGTCTGCTGATGCAGGACGTTAGTGTGTCTTCAATGGACCTGCAGGTTAATGTCAGGAACTCAAAGACGGACCAACTAGGCAGGGGTGCTGTTATTACGCTCCCTGCGACTGGCAAAAGTGGCCCTTGCCCGGTGAAAGACCTTAGGAAGTATTTAGCCTTGCGTCCTGGCGGTGAAGGGCCCCTGTTCGTTCACGAAAATGGCCGCCCACTGGTGAGACACCAGTTTACTGGTGTGTTGCGTAAAGCGGTGGCGGCTTGCGGCCTTCCGGCTTCGGAGTTTGCCCCTCACTCATTTAGGATTGGGGCTGCTACAACCGCCGCCCATTGGGGTTTGTCAGTAAAGAGGATAAAGGACCTGGGACGGTGGAGATCGGATGCATTCAAAGTCTACGTGCGGTAATAATGAGTTGCTGTATTTACCTGTGTGTGTTTTAACCCTAGGTCGGGCTGCTATCCATATCTGGATAGTAGGGCACAGTATTGTGCACTGGGCTGCGGACAGAGCTCGCCAGTCCGGACTGGGTGATGGCCTGGGATTCCCGCAGCATGTACATGTGTCCTGGATCTCCAGAAGGGGGATGCTTTGGAGGGAATTCTTACCTCTCATGCGAAGGCGTGTCCTCCAGTGTGGCCCTCCTTCAGCGATCGTGGTGCAGCTCGGGGAGAACGATATGGTTTCTTCTTCCTGCTACGGGCTGCGTGCTGCCATATTACAGGACCTTGGAGAGCTGGCGGCACTGGTGCCGGCAACTAAGTTAATCTGGTCACAGCTACTGCAACGCCGCATTTGGCGAGGTAGTCCTTGCCCAGCTGCCACCGAACGTGTGAGGAAGCGGATTAATTCCGCGGCAAGCAAGCTGGTGGTGAATCTGGGTGGGTCTGTGATCCCTCACCCTCTTATTTCATTCAAGGCGATGGAATTTTACAGGGATGACGGGGTTCATCTCTCGCCAGTGGGGAATGATGTGTGGTTGGATGCTATGGTGTCCAAGCTGAGGGTATGGCTTAATTTGTGAGTGGTTGGCGGCGAGCGTAGGGGCTCGAATGGCGGTTAGGCATTGGTTAAAATTGGTTGGTGGAGGGGTATGGATTGGCTGTGCCTGCCCCTCCAATGCTGCTGCTGACGGGTATTCCGTTAAAGGAATTCTGAAGCTTACCATCCCCTTCGTCCAAACCCTGACGGCAGGGTGCGGGCCGCGTAAGCTTCAAGGAACAAGCGCGGAGTAGATGAGGGCCTGTGACGCAGCTCCATCTGACTCTGGCCTTGCTTCCTCCGGGACTGACTAGGGAGTCAGTGCTGTCCCCCAAGGCGGGGGGGGGGACAGGTAGTCATAACCAATGCCTAAGCAACCACTCTCAATTTGTATGAAAATAAAGTTGTGGCCAAAATTATGCCAAAAACCTTAAACAAAAATTACGTGTGATGTCTGAGTTATTGGGGTACGGGTTTTGGGGGACCTCAGCACGCAAAGCGTGTTCTCATAAAAGAGAGAGCACGTGTTGCGGATGGGGCCAAACAAACCCCCTGTTAGTGACCAGGCCATTGATGGCAATGGGCTGGAGCAGATTGGATGATGCTGTTACTGGGGTAAATTTGATGTTGCCAATTTAGGGGTGGGATTAATGGTTATATATAAGCAGGGTCCACAGCTTTCTCTTTCTCTTTCGCTGTGGACACCGGATCTCCCGCCCGCCCTCCCTTGATTGGGCTTGCGCTTTGACCTTGCTCTGCCTGTCATGGGGTCGTTCGCATTGGTGCGGGGGCCCAGTAGGAATTTGTCCAATTGGCTGATTAGTGCGTGCCTTTTGGGTTTTGCCTACTGCTTAGCAAATCGTCACAACTTGTAAGGTTGGCGGTTAGGCATTGGTTAAAATTGGTTGGTGGAGGGGTATGGATTGGCTGTGCCTGCCCCTCCAATGCTGCTGCTGACGGGTATTCCGTTAAAGGAATTCTGAAGCTTACCATCCCCTTCGTCCAAACCCTGACGGCAGGGTGCGGGCCGCGTAAGCTTCAAGGAACAAGCGCGGAGTAGATGAGGGCCTGTGACGCAGCTCCATCTGACTCTGGCCTTGCTTCCTCCGGGACTGACTAGGGAGTCAGTGCTGTCCCCCAAGGCGGGGGGGGGGACAGGTAGTCATAACCAATGCCTAAGCAACCACTCTCAATTTGTATGAAAATAAAGTTGTGGCCAAAATTATGCCAAAAACCTTAAACAAAAATTACGTGTGATGTCTGAGTTATTGGGGTACGGGTTTTGGGGGACCTCAGCACGCAATGCCGACATTTGAATAGATTCCATATGATAATTCCTTCAGTTTAGTTTAACAAGAGCAAAGATTAGAGGCTTTTCTAAAATCATCATGAAGTTCATGCTGTTTTTTTAGGAGCCAAAATATAGCGCTGAGTTGTGAGCCAATTTAGCTCTGTACTTGAGAACAAAGAGTAATTTTTTTCCGCTCAGCGCTTCTCAGTGGATATGTAGATGAGCTGTGAGATGCTGCCTGCCTGAAATATTCAGAAGTGGATTCCCAAACAGAATAAAAACTGTAATGTAGAACATATCATAGCTTCCCACCCCCCTTTGACTAATTTCTAGCTCTGGGCTTTATTCTTTACAACATTGCTTCTATGACTGCTGGCTTGTGGAACCTTTCTGGGCCCGGTTGGCTTCTCAGCTGCATAAGGCATACTCCAGTCTCTTAACCATAAGAAGAAAGAATTGCCTGCAGCTCAGCCTAGTCTGAGTGGCACATATGGCAATTGATTAACTACATGCGCTATCAGAGAATTTCAGCTACATTTGCCTGTTCGTTAATTATCTTTTCTCTTAACTTCCTATAGTCAAATGCTCAAATGGAGTTCCGGATCTACTTCGGTGTCGAAACTGGTGTCGGAATGCATGCCCTTTTTAAGATAAAGGGAATACACAAAGGGTTGGAAGGCCACCCTACTAGCATCCTCATGTCAAGGTACTTTTCAAGTATAGATTGTGGCAACCTATTACATGGGCAGAAGAGTGTAGACTTTATGCAGTAATGCGGCTAATCCATGCACATCTGTTAATTGTCAAATCATTTATTCAGGTACTCAGAGAAGTCTAGGACACTCAATAAGGATTTGTTCCTCCTCTCCTTCCTTTAATGTAAAGGTAAAGGTGAAGGGACCCCTGACCATTAGGTCCAGTCGTGACCAACTCTGGGGTTGCGGCGTTCATCTTGCTTTACTGGCCAAGGGAGCCGGTGTACAGCTTCTGGGTCATGTGGCCAGCATGACTAAGCCACTTCTGGCGAACCAGAGCAGCGCACGGAAACGCCAATTACCTTCCCGCCGGAGCGGTACCTATTTATCGACTTGCACTTTGACATGTTTTCGAACTGCTAGGTTGGCAGGAGCAGGGACCGAGCAACGGGAGCTCACCCTGTCACGGGGATTCGAACTGCTGACCTTCTGATCAGCAAGTCCTAGTCTCTGTGGTTTAATTGCTTCCCATCAAATATCTCAAAAGCGGTTTCACAATAAAAGCATCAGCTATAAAAACAATTATACAGTTTCTCATACACACACACACACACACACACACACACACATAATGATGTGAAAACGATTGGAGGCCCAGTACAGACTGGAATAAAGGTCTCTGCTTAAAAGGCTTGTTGAAAAAGCAAGGTCTTGGACAAAAGAAGCAGGGCCTGTCTGATATGTACCAGGAGGGAGTGACCATTGCACTTCATAGCTGATATCAACCAACTTTTTTCTAGCCAAGTCAATATGGTGGCTAGGGCCTCATTGATAGAGAGGCGTCTTCGAGCTGCCTTGAAAGAGACAGTGGTCAATCCGTTGCTTAAAAGACCATCATTGGGCTCTGCTGAAACTGGCAACTAAAGGCCAGTCTCTAATTTGCCATTTCTAAGTCATAGCCAGGCACTTTTGGATGAAATTGATCACCTGGATCCATATCAGTCTGGTTTCTGTTACAGTTTTGGGATAGAGATGGCCTTGAACCCTTTGTAGACTACTACTACTAGTAGTAGTAGTAGTAATTTACCTTTACTAATTCATAAATGGAAATAACTAAATAACTCCCGTACACTCTCCCAAAACCAGTTACTTCCTTTGACACACCACTGCCCTGACCCACCCTTCTGTTGCTCCACCAGGTACATAAATGACCAACTCACCTGACTAAACACACCAAAGGTTTCTAAGCCTCTCTTTCCCCATCCACATCCTTGCTATTTCACCAAAGGATGGACGGAAGACCACCCTAGTCTCGCTCTGGGAAGAAGAGGTAACAAAGCCCACTTGTTAAGCCCCTGCTTCTGTGACTGAGATGGGCTAGTCTGCTTGAGGAGGCTAGATAAAAGCCCCCCTCCTCACCAGAAGAACAGAATTCCTGACCTTCAGCCTTGCATCAACCGTTCTGGTAGACATTCCTCTGCACTGTCCTTTGGTCATGCCAAACAGAGCAGAGCAAGGTAGTGTTTATGATCAGAGGGGATACAGGCAGGAAGAAGGTTAGCCTGCCAAAGAGGCTGTTAGAAAAGGTTCAACACTGATGGAGTCTGTGGTGTCAAAGGATTGGAGATGCGTACACCCACTCTTCTGAGAAGCCAAGGAACCAGGCCTCCTTATCACCCAAGTCTCAAGTGCATGGTCTTAACCAGGGCCCCAAATCTGCCCCAAATAGGGGACTATTGCGAGGGCATTGACACCGCAGATGCTCAGGCAGTGCAGTAATTTAGGATTAGGATGCTTCTTTCCACCTCGACTAGATTGGTTCCTTCTGTCCCAACACGGAATAAGCTCATCTTAAATACCAAGCTCTTTCTTGACAGCTCACAAGCTGTGGGAGGGGAAAAGAAAGCAGCCTGCGTCGTTTTACCGATTGTTCATTTAGCTTCAAAAGGTGGATTTTCTAAACAGCATTTTCTACATTGTTTTTTTCCCCCTCCTGTTAATTCATTTTAATTCCGTACTGCATTTTCCTGGTTTTAGGGCTGGGAGGTATACTGTACATGCACTGCATTTTGCAGGGTTTTAAAAGGCTGCTTTAATGAATTCTTAATTACATTATTCAAAAGATCCATTATTCAGTATTCATCTCACTTCTAAATGAAAGTCTTTACCTGACATATGAATGAAATGAGTCTAAATGCTTTGCATGCCACCTAGGGATTCATAATAGACTCCTTGCTGAATGGCAGCAGCAGGTCCCCCCCTTTTTTCTGCTTTAAATTTACAGGGATTGTTTGTGGAGATGAACAGATATGAGCTACTCTGCCAGACCCTAAACTCTCTCCAGGCACATTCTAAACCTCTTAGTGCCTGGGAGATGAAGGTAACGCCCTAGTTATTGCAGTGGCAGGGCTGGAAGCCGAGAAGCTGATAAATGGGAGCAGATACCAATCTAACAGCACAATCTTATACATGTCTACTCAGAAGCAAAGATGAAGGAGAAATTAGAATTCGAATCGCACATAAAGACAGGCCTTCCCAAGTTGCACTTGCTGAACAAATACATAAACTGAAACACAGACATTGTTCAAAATCCGAATTTTGCAATGCGTTTCTCCAGCCAACCGGTGTTTGCAAAAATGTGTAGTCTAGGGTAAAGTGTGCATTAAAATGCTCAGATCAGTGAAATTTACACCCAAAAATTCATTACATTGGGGAAAATTGCTTTGCAAAAATGTTTACATTGGACAAAATGGCATACAAAAATGTGAATATTTGGAGAAATTCGCCCTAAAATGATGATGAAATTTCAAGAGGGCCAAACAAATAAACTGATATGGAAATATGAATTAGAAATATGAGAAACCAAAATTGACAGATTAACACAATCCCTACTTAGAAGTAAATCCAACTGGGTTTGGTGGGGCTTAATCACAGGTAAGTGAGGAGAAGATAACAAAATGAATTTTGTGGCACCTTAAACAGATTAATATCAAACAGATTTATTGTTATACAAATCTGTGCTGTAGAATGTAGACGTTTGTGCCAAAATAACATTACAATTCTAACCGTGCTTACTCTGAAGCAAGTATCACTGTGGCCTATCCCCAGGCAAATGTATAGAGAACTGAAGTCTATGTATCTACATACCTGACAGTAAATCCCACTGAACATGATGGGGCTAATTTTTGAGCAAATATGCATTGAATTGCACTGCCAACCTACTATTGGTCTTGCAAGGTACCACAACTCTTCTTTGTGTTTGCAGCAGCAGACTTAGAATAGCCACCCCTTTAGAATTTGCATCCAGATGATTGTTTTACTGTGCAATAATAAAAGACACAGTTGTTGTAAATAGCCACATGTTCAAAGCATCTGTTGCAGGGAAATGACATTTCCCCAATACTGAGCCTGATAGAGAATAAAATCAACAATGATTTTAATTATGGAAAGAAACAGATGGCAAAAATGCAGTATAGTCACAAGTGGAGCAAGTGTAATGTTTTAGATCAGCCTGACAATGTTGACTTTTCCATTCTGTCCACCATGATACTTTAGTATGAAGCAGAAGAAAATGTAAATATTAATATATGGGGTCATCTATAGTTTTAAAAAGGAGAGTACAGGAAGATTTCATGAGCGTTAAAAGTGAAATCATCTTCTTGCTTGTAAGGTGTATGACAGGGGTGGTCCAATGGGGGCGCAAACTGATAAAAATTGGGCAGGAGGTGTTGAGGCCTCTTTGTGCCCATGTCTTAAGTGCAGCAAGGCTGAAGTCTCAATCTCCCAATGGATGAATTGCTAGCTATAGATGCCACCCACCTTAATAGACCTATTTAAGAACTGTAATCCACACAAGAGACTCAGTGTGTCATGGCTCCAATTATTATTTTCCTCAATTATTATTTCCTTTCTTTATTCCAGTTTTTACTGTGATGAATTTCCCAAAGTCAAAGTACAGGTTTTATTATATGCTGATTCCTTTCCAAATATTTGCATTTAGTAAATGGACACTTTAAACAAGCGACAATTTGGGAGTCTGACATAAAATGTTGGACCCAATCATAACAGGTGGGGAGAGATTTTTATTTCATTTAAGAAGTGGCTTCTTCCGTGCCCCCTTTGTTAAAGTGAGGAATAGGTGTTGCCTATGTGATCCATACTACAATGATAGAGACTTAATGACAGTTAACAAACCAGGTTAATAAGCCAGGATCTGATCTGACTTGGCCTCTGGCACAGAAGTTCCATTTCCAAGGTTCCTCAGGGAGGACGATTAAACCATTTTAAGTCTCTATCATTTTCTGCTTCAGATGTTTATGGGCGAATGTTGGCTTAATGTAAGCCAAGATTTCCACACCAAGACCAGTGTGCAACCAGAAAAGGGGAGGGGTTTGTGAATCTCTGGGGAAATGACTGAGCATGGTGAGAATCTTGCCTTTGTGTGTCTAGATTCAGTAGAAGAAAAATGGTCCATTTTCCAGTTCTTTCCTTTAAACACCATTGTATTTGGTTTGGGGTTCCTATTAGGTAGGACAGACATCATTGTCAGTGCCAACTATATAGAAATCACGGAAAATAATGACTTATTTCTGTAAGTCAATTGCATCTAAGCCTTCTCTGTAGAATACAAATATAACAACATATAATAACACATTCCTTAACTTCCTGGGTACACCAGTAAGACTAAATGAGGACATCAGGAAGTTTAAAAGAACCATTTGATGTGATAACAGTGTCTTTATACTAATATGGTGTCTAATTTCCTGTCTTTCCCTCTTAGAAAAAAAAATTATTAAAATGTATAATCACTTCCTCTATATAACTGTCATTTGAGCTAAAAAAAAAACCACCTTCATTTTTTTTAATGGTGCTGTCTTTTGTCATTACAACTGCAGGAATTTCAAACTAGTATTTGAAAAGATACAGCCATAGGTAGAATTTATCAACACAAAACTATACCTTGCTCAAATCTCTGAGTGCTGTTTTCAATGGATTTTATCACTCAGGGGAAAGAAGTGTGATTATATAGATAAAGGATCCAAATGAATGCTCAATAAATAAATAAATGGTCTAATAATAGCCAAGAAATTCTGAACAATACTGCTCAAGGAGTAACAACTAAAGGATGATTCACAGGACTGAAAATTGTCCTTAACTGTGCAGGGAATTGAATGCCCATTTTAGCTGGCTGTGCTGTAAAGTGGGTGTCAGATTGCTGCATAATGCGGCCAGAAGACTGTGGTGCTATCAGGGTAAAACTTTCTTTTTATATAATATTTTTTATTAGTTTTCAATTACAATAATCCACTAATAGCCACATTATAACAATGTCAAATTATAATACAATTAATAATACCAATAATTGATATGACAAATTATACAATTTAGGTGGCCTCCCGCGTGATAGAATTGATGGTTTGACGATTTACAGGGTCAAACTTTCAGGCAGAAGCCCATGACCCACCCCACCCCAATTTAGCAAGGCTGACTTACCACATTTTGAAGTAAGCAAAGCAATGTGCGTTACAAACAAGAGAGGATCCATCCCTGTAAGATCATGGAGTTCATAGTCTGAAATTACCTAACAGCACTGCTGTCAGGATATTTTTTCAGCATGTATTTAGGAATGGTTAGGGTTAGGGTTGCTGTGTTGGGATGGTGGGGCTGATGAAGGTCAAGATGGGCAGAAGTGCATCTCCTCACCCTACTCCCCACTGGCCATATGAAGGTATGGAGCCATAGGTCAGCTGGCATGTGCTATTTTAAAGCTTTAAACTTGGAGTTAACGATGGGTATAAAACGACACGCTCCAAATCACCTAACCTTCTTAGCTGCTTAAAAGAGTATATAATCTGCTCAAATATTATACAACCTTTGAAGTGAAACAGTGAAAATCATCTGTGCTACCAGTCTTCACTCTGCCTCAAGGTTTATTTGCCAGGACATTTGGGTCATAGATCTGTTGCTGTTGTTGTTGTTTTTCTTCCTGAATACTGAGCAGTGGATTACGCACCTGAGCTTTGCTCTAGCCAGGACTTCTGGAGCTTATAAATCTTGAATTCACTTTCAATTATTCTAGGGAGAGAACACACCTACAGTCATAACTTTAGTTGTCAACCTCATGGCACCTGGCTATTCAGAAGCCAATGCACCAATTTTCTTCTTTGTTTCTTCTTAAAATTTCATTCCAGACATTATACACATACATGTGCACACACATTTAGTGATTAACTGCATCCTGCCAAGATCCAAAACAAGCTTACCTAAGTTTCTACTGTCTGTCTGTTTGTCTGTCTGTCTACCCATCCATGTCTTTTCATTCATGTAAAAGAGCAGGAATTGTTGGTACTCAAGAATTTCACTGGTACAGCACAGTAAGAGATAGAAACTCTTGTCCCTCCAGATGTTAAACTCCAGCTTCCATCTGCTGCAGCTAGCATGGCCAATGGTCAAGGATGATGGGAGTTATCATCCAGCAATATCTGGAAGGCCATGTGTCCCCCATCCCTATTGTCCAGAATGAGCTCAGGTTGAGGCCTCTACTCTGCCATGAACTAAATCTAAGTTACCTCATTGGGTCATTGATATGACTAACTCTTGGCCCCTGCTCTGGGTTCTTGAGGTTGAGCAACAAGGGAAACAAGACTGCTTGCTGCCAAGTCTTTTACTCCACTATGCTGGTGACAAATGACTAGTCAATGGCCTGGTTCACACTTGATAACTGCGGCGGGAAGGATGACTTTCCATTGCCTATTGCCATAGAGAGACCTTTCATATCACCTTACTTCAAAGCCAACAGTTTTCAGTGGAGTCTAGTTACACATAAGCTCCGAGTCTCAGAGGCTGTCACAAATCCTGAACACACTTATGGAAGAGTAAGTGCCAGCGAAATAAATAGGGATTACTTCTGAGTAGCTTATAAATGTTGAGCAAGGAAGTGAAGAATAGGCATGTGTGAAGGCGCCCAATGGAAGAGCAAGGAAATAGGAAAACACAGGGCGGGAAAGCGTGTTACACGGTCCATTTTCAATTTGCAAGCAAATCGAGGCAACTCATGATTCCACACAGCGCCCTTGTCAAGCCCCTCACAATATGCTTCTGATTAGCAGTTGCTCAGTTTTATCCTGCTGGTGCCCTGCACTGTGGAGATGTTTGTCTCCCAAATTGTAGATTCCTTTTGAAAATCCTTAGCTGTCTTACTTTTGCACCACACAATCCAATACACAAATAGCATTGTGCACATATGGAAGTCTTCATGGCGACGCATACATATTCCCAGTCAAAACTATTTTACAAACCCTAATGCTTTGCAGATGAAAACACAGAAAAGACGACAGTTTTTAAACGGTAATGTTTTTTGACGTTGTTCAATCTTGTTTTAGTAATTGACATAAACATGTTTAAAAAGGACTATTAATAGAACGAGCATGCCTGATTTTTTTTAAAAAAATGTTTTCAGTGCTGTACAGCTGTAGAATTAGTAATCATTACATTTTTCTGTTTGTGATTATTTGGCTACTCCTGTAAATAAAGAACCAGCCTTTAAAATATTCTCATTAATCATAAAAATGCCATTGTCTCAACTGGCTGCAAGAAATTCACACTGATCTCTGCCTTGCCTTGTTGCTGTTATGTGTCTTCTTTTTCATATGATTAGTATTATTAGTGGCGGTAAAATATGGTTTACCCCACAGATAATTGAGGGAAATTTTCATATTGTAGCTCATCAACTTTGAGCTTGTGTATTCTGCCTCCAGACCTATGTTACATAACAATCTGTGCCTGAAATGTACCCATAAAATTGGTAGCAGTCCAAAGTATTTGGAGTTGCAGGGCAGAAAGATTATATTGGTGGGCAGCTAATAGCTGGAATAATCTTGAGCAGCTTTCCTCAAGATGTTTTGGACTACAAGTTTCATTATGAGACTTCTGCTTTGTTTTTGTTTTTTTAAACTCAAACTTTAACGGTGCCCTTCATGATAACCTCTGGAAGTATTGGCCTACAATTTGGCAGGCTAAAACTGCTCTGGAGGTACAGCTAGACCAGCAAATTCCATCTATTTCCTGATTATAGTTTACTTTGAGCTGTTGTGCAACAAACTCGCTCCTCCCCCCAAAAAAGTGAACTTTTTGTGACAAGGGAAATGACAGGGGGATGCAGTGGGAAGGGTAGGATAACACTTGCTTTGAGGCAATGTCATCTAACCTGCCCACAAAGAAACCAGAATGAATGCTCATCGAATAGCCAACATTGTCTAATCTCTCAGCAAACAAATCAGGATGACTGCCCAATAAACAGGTTGTCTGGAAGTGCTCACTGTCCCTTCATGCCAACAAGGGAGAGCCATGTGTGGGGCACTGCGAGCCTCAGGACGCAATGGACTACAAACACATTTTTATGTGTGTGAACATGGAATTTAAAATCTCATTGCCCCATAGCACCCATTCTATCCTCCAGTTCGTTTATCTCATCTAATCCTAGAAATTATTCACTCTGCCCTTCTTTTCAATTAGACTCCTTTAAAGGAAAAAGAACCTCAACGGAATAGCAGGGAAGTTAAATTTGAAATCAACTGAATGCCCTCAATTGTAGGGGCATAAGGCGCTTTTCAGCTCAGCTTCAACTTTGTCCCTAATGAGGGTCCTGTGGAAAAGCTCATTCAAAGATCAGAATAGGCCAGACTGTTGTGCATTTCAGCTCCTTCCAGGGAGTTCAGTCGAACAATTTCCCCTTGTCAAATGGTAGCAACAAAATTCAGGTGATGTAAAACTGATCATTTTAATTCTGCCATTTAAGTGTAATTGTAATTTTATTTTATTTGTTTTTATCTTTTCTAAAGCACTCCGAGAGGTCCAAAGAAAGGTGTTCTACAATTGCAAGTGCTGGAAGTGATTGACAAATTATTTTACAACTGGCACTTATTATTCCTTTTATTAAGAATAAAGTGGCTTTTAGAGCAAAAACAATAGGGTGAAAAGGGGATCTTTTATGCACTCATTACAAATAGAAAATTGGAAAGGAAAAGTTGTAATAAAAGCTAAGGGTATAATCCACCAGAAAGTTCTCCCCTGAAAGCTCCATTGAAATGAATGGGAACTTTGTACTAGTATTCATTTCAGTGGGGTGTGCATAGGAGGAATTCATGGCAAATTGTGCTCCAAATGGTTTTATCAGTGCCTGCACTTCTCAAGTTGTATGTAAAGAAGCTGTCAAGTAATCCAATGGACGCACAAGCAGTGGTCCTTTGATAGGATCAGAGAAAGATTGCCCTAAGGAGTAAATGGCAGACTAAGTAACAACCCACCTCATCATAGAAAGCTGAAGGCCCTGATCCAGCTAAGGTCAAGCATAACTAGTAAGTAGGAATGGGGGAAAATTCAATTCACATTTATAGGTAAACCTACCTAATTAACATGTTTCTGAATTTTGCAGAGCAGTTTTCTAGCCACGCAACATGTACAAAAATGCATATCCTAGGGTAAGGTGCATAAAATGCATATATGCCTGAAAACATAATGCATTTTATTGCAGAAAATTGCTTTGCCAGAAGGGATATGTTAGGCAAAATTGCATTCCAAAATGTGTATATTGGGAGACATTTGCATAAAAATGCCGAGTAATTTTCATGAGGACTTGCTTAAAAATTGGAAACTGATGTGTATATATATGGAGAACCGAACTTCAGATAGGAAAAAAACAGCTACTGAAAGAAACAGAAATTGACAAATTCTCCCATCTCTACTAGTGAGTCATAACTAGTGAGTCATAACTCTCATTTAACCCTACTGGAACAAATCAGTAAATATGAATGTCACTCCCTGCTGCTTTCAGTGGGACTTAGTGGTGGCAAACATTAGCTGGACTGAGGCCAGGGAAGCTTCTTTTAAAAGTTGTTTTCACTTGGGATTGTTGTTGAAGAAAATGCATTACATAAAAGGCTCCTCTTTAACACCTGCCATGTTTCTTTCAAATCACAGTGCACAGGGATGTACATTCCTTTTAGGTGCATGTACATAACACATTTTGGCCCTACTCTACGTATATGAACATACTGCATTGCATTCCTTCCTGACAATTAAGAAGTCAGATTCTGGCAGCACCAGTCACTTGGGGTCATTGCTGGGTTGCTGTTTTAAAGGGAGGCAGGAGATGGAGTTGGATTCAGTCCTTCATTCGGCCAGGAATCTTCTCTGCATATGGCTGCCAATCCAACAAGATTTATATTCAATAAGGGAGCTACATTTGGAAACATAAAATCCAATTTAGTGATAAATTAAGGTCTTCAGGGGCAAATATATGAGCTAATCTTCTTAATTGTCAGGTAGGTGTGTGGAGCAGATGTTGAAAAAGCTTCCATCTTTTTTGCAGATGTTGAAAGCAGATGCTAACGCAATGCCTAGTTTTCAAATGAAGCTCCCTTCTTGAATATAAATCTCATTGGATTGGCAAAGGTATGGAGACACAGTTCCTGAATGAATCCACCTTCTAGGGCTGAATCCAATCCCATCTGTCATCAGAACCTAGGGGAATGGTGCTACCAAATGAGTTTCTTTATATGTTTTCCATTTTGGTTACTATGCGAAACGAGAGTGCAATTTCAGACAGGCCTTTGAAGAAGCTGACTTGCAAGTATGTGTTTTAGTTGGTTTAAACTGCTTGTTTTATAGATGTTTTACCTGCTTTGTTTTTATACTTGACTTATTTAGTATGCTACTGCTTTTTTAAAAATTGTATTTACATTATTGCTGTTATCTGCATTGAGCATCATTTGGTGAAAGGCACAATAAGTATTTATCTAACAAATTTCCTTGGAGGCCTTTTGCATATGTCTTCAGCAGCTTTAGCTGTCCCTACCAGTTTGCTGTCATCTGCAAATTTGATGAGCATCCCCTCAATTTTCCCAAGATTATGAGGAACTATTAGTGAGCACTCTTTGGGTTCAGTCAGTCAGCCAGCTACAAATTCAACTAACAGTTACCTCATGCAGCCCACATTTTATCAGCTTTGTCAAAGCCCTCACTGAAATCAAGATACACTACATCCACAGCATTCCCATGATCCACCAAGCTTGTAACTCTGTGGAAAAAAGAAATGAGATTTGTCTGGTGTGACTTGTTATTGAGAAACCCATGTTGGGTCTTTGGAACCACAACATCCTTTTCTAAGTGCTCACAGATCAACCATTTAATTATCTGTTCTAGGAGCTTTCCTGACCAGTCAGTAGTTACACGGGTCTTTCTTTTTACCCCCTTTTGAAGATAGGGACAACATTTGCCCACCTCTAGTCTGCAGGAACCTCACCTCTTCCTCAAGAATTCTTAAGGATTATAGACAGCGGCTCTGAGATTACACGCACAAGCCCCTTCAGTACCCTTGGGTACTAAATAATCATTGGAGAAGAGAAAGATGGGAATAAGCAAGATATAAGGGGAGAGAACGAAAAGTATATTATGACAGAAAGATACACAGCAGGAGCCAGGATCGTAGAATATACACTGACTATATCTTTGGTGATGGAGCACATCAAAGGATAAACATAGTGAAAAGACAATGGGATTCACAATGAGGAGGAACATGCTGGCACTCGAAGACTCAACTGAATACGTTACAGGAATAATTTGTCTCACCAAAGACAGTGATTTGTCTGCCAGGAGTAATGTTAAAGGCAACACTGAGAGGGAACAGACTATATATATATATATATATATATATATATATATGCCATAAGATTGCTTCATTTGGAGTGCTAGGTATAAATGACATTAAATTGGGAGAGGGGGAGCATGTTTGCAAGATAAAACCAAGACATCTTACTTGAAGGGGTGTGGGGGTGCTTTCATGTTTGCACTGCTACTTAAGAGATGACTTTCTGATGATGATTAGGGAGTAAATTAATGGTTTTCTAAATGTAGATAGGATGGATATGTGCAACCTGCGGATAAGCAAGAGTGATTTGAAAGTAGGGGAGGAGACAGGTTGTCTCTTAAAAGAATGCAGCAGAGCAGACAACTGCTGAATGGGAAGATGAAGGTGGTAATTATTTAAGCGCTTCCTTGATATCAAAGCAGAGTTAACTTAACCCTCCCACCAGTGATCTTGCTGCTTGCTAGAAAGAGTTTTGAGTCATAGTTGCCTACTGGATGAGGAAACCGACAATGTGCCTTGCAAGACGTAGGCAACGGAGAACATACAGTAGTGGCTCAGAAGCTCTTTTCCTGGAAGCTGTGAGTTTGAGCCTCTCTCAAACTAAGGAGAAATTCACACCATGCCCATTTGAGTTGGAAAACTCAAAGGCTGTTCTGTGTGATTTTTGTCAGTTCCGCTCACTCATATGGTGTGCAAGATACTAAAACTAACACGTTTCAACGTACCACTTCACATATGGCACAATGTTTCACCCTGACACGTGATTCAGATCTGCTTAAGAGGAGAGGAATTGGATGGAAAATAGAACCGGTCATTCTCTGATAGTTGGGAATGAAGAGAATATAATCTCACCCGGTCATTGGGACTTGATGTTGACTCTTCTTTTCTTATCTCTGCAGATGCGATCTCCTGGGTGACGTGGACACCATTAGACAGTTGAATGCACATGTGTACGCCATCCATTTCGCTCTCTCCCACGTGGCTTTGGACACTGGCAACGCACGCTATGCCACTAGTCTTGTGGAAACAGGGATTCATTTTATATTTCACATTTCACTATTATTATTTTTACACCATTCCCTGTAGGCCAAACTAGGTGTGACATGAAAGCCAGGTGTATTTATCTTGTATCCTAAACCTTCATATGTAAAACAGGTGGAGACTGTCTCCTTTTCTAAAATGAAATGGATGGGGTGAATCCTCTCCTACCTCACCTCATTGTGCTTCATTGCTTCAGCCAATTTTCTCCTGGACCACCCATCACTTGTGCTAGAATGTGCCAGACTGGATAAAAACACTTGAAGCAATGGAGTGCAGTTTGGTAAGGTGGAGAAGGAGAGGTTTCTCTCACCTCAACCACAGTCTTCTTTTGTATATATATATAAATGCATCCACACAGTATCATACCACTATTTATTTCATAAATAAAATACAAGATGGCATTACTGTAAGGTGGGGTGAGACTTCTCTTCTCACACAGCAGATTTTGGAGTACAATTAACGAATAATAATTTGACAGTTCTTTAGCTTATTATATTTTTTACCGCCACAGGCGTATCATTGGGACTTTCTGCCTCAGGCACCAAAATATATTGGGCTGTACTTTCCAATGCAGCTATCATACTTCCTGCTAATCTTCAGGCCCACCTCACGAGCATGTGAAGTAATGGTGCTGTTTTGAGAATATAGAGCTGAATCTACAGCAGGGTTGGTGAATCTCTGGTGCCTTGGATGATGTTGGACTGACTGCACTGGCTGGGGCTGATGGGAACTGGAGTCCTTGACCTGCAGCAAGGCAAGGTACGAGTTACTGCCTTAAAGCAGATTATGGAAGTGCTGGTGTATATGTCAATGAACAGAAAAGTGTTTGGGGGTTCAATCGGAGTAACAAGGAAGTGTTCAGAACACTACTGGAACTGACCAGCGTTTATGTTACATATGGCTGTACTACATCATGGAAAAGTACAAACTGATACACAAGTACAAGAAGGGGAAATTGATGGGAAGATGATGCCACTGTTATCAAAGGTGAATGGATTTGACTGTAAAAGTTGCTCCATTATTCTTTCATGTGTTGTTCCGGGGTAAATATGACCACTGCACATTTATGGTTTAATTACCAATCAGTGACCTGAAGCAAACGGCTGCCCACTTCCAAAAAGCATAATGTTCATTCTGCCCTGAACACTATAGAATTGAATATATCGGACGATCGTAGAGGAAACTCTGAAAATAGCCAGCATTTCCTCTGTATTTTTGAAATTAAGGGCCAATTGATCTCATGTCTTCATTTCAGAATTGCCATGAACCTTGAGAAGGCCAAAGGTGGCCTGTTAGGCCTTAATATGCCATGCTTAACTTGCCATTTAAGCAGCCAACCCTCTTCCTTCCACCCACAATCTGGCCTTTTCTGTAAGCTGTCACATCACGTGACCAGAATGTATCTGGCCTTAATTTTATCTATTTATACACATGAATTTTATTTTTAATGCATTGGCTATTTCAGTTCCATTTTTAACTAAAACTGAAAATTAATAATACTAGGGAAACTTCTGTACAAATCAAGGAAATTGAGTTATTTCTATTTGAGGTATTTTTTTATTATTATTAAAAAAGAGATTCTTACCTTGAGTAATTTTTTTTACTGTACTGGCCACCATATCCTTGAAAAGGTTTAATTGCTCTTCAGGGGAGAACTGTAGAGCAATTATACAAATGATACCATAGCTCAACGATTTAAGTTATGAGGAAAGACTGGGGAAGTTGATTGTATTCTCAGTGGAATGGAAGAGACTTCGTGTAACCCAACTGAAGTTTTAAAAATTATGAAGGGGATTGATAAAATTGATCCAAGCAAGCTCCTTACACTTGCAAGACCAGAGAGTTGAAAAGATATGATCTAAAAAATGGAAAGGTGGGAACAAGGGGGTGAGGGGAACGAAGGCAGAACTATTTTACACAAAAAGGGGTTAGGAGCATATGGAATAAATTACTATAAAGGGCCCCTGAAGCAAGGCGCATCACTGAATGCAAGAGGGAATCGAGGGAATTGCTAAACAAAGGGAGCATAGAGAATGAGATGGTGGGAGGTAGGCAAATGGAAATAAAGGAGGCAGGGAGTATGAATACATGAAGCCTTTCCTATGCTCTGCTTTCTGCTGTGGCTCCCTGGTTGTTGATGCCCTCTGTATTTTAAGACCAGGCCTTAGAATCACAAACATTGGGATCACCTCTGTGGTGCTTGCTCATCTGGTTAATCTGCTTTGAGTGGCTTCTTAGATTCACAATCCAGACATTAGATGTGATGGGCAGCAGGAGATAAGGCAGTTGCAATTCCTCTTGCTTATCCCTCCTCCCCCACCACTGCCTGTCCATCGCTTGCACCATTTCCTCACCTGCTGCTCCAAGTATCCAGGTATGTTGCACAGGAGGTGCGGAAGAGTTGGGAGGTAGCAACCAGAAAGCAGCCTCTCAGCTATAAATGGAGTCATTAGTGATGTATGGAGGTGAGATTGGCCAAAGATAGGAGCTCATAAAAACCACTCACTCCAGAGGGAGGGAGGGAGGAGTTCCACTGGGGAGACCTAGAGGAAGGCCTCTGAGAATGTCTGTAACACCTATGCAAGTTCATGCAGGTAGAGATGGTATTTGAGGCACCAGGGTCCCAAACTATTAGGAGTTTTAAAGATTAAGGCAAATGCTTTCTAACTGCACTAAGAATTGGACCAGACCAGAAGCCAGTGTAGGCATTCCTTAACTGGCAATATATACACATATACACACACACATAGTTTCAGCAATCTGGTTGCTGTAATTTTAACTAACTACAGCTTCTGGACAGTCTTCAGAGGCAGCCCATGTACAATACATTGCAATAGCCCAAACAGGATGTAACTAGCACAAGGTGACCACGTGTCCTACTTTACAAAGGACATCCCTCTCTTTGAAGGGCTGCCTGGTCCAAGTCTGGTTTAAAGCTAAAGAACCAAATGGTGGTGGAGTCTTGCTTGCCCATCACCATTAACACCCAGAGAGCAAGCTGAGCAGGAACAGAGATCAGCTGGCCAAAGCCTTCCAATACAGATGTATTTCTACTTAAATTATAGTAATTATTTCTAAAAATTGTACCTATACATATAAATTTAGCATATGCATATTTTCAGGACACCTGGCTGCTCCTCTGACCTCTTTTTGGGTGATGTATTTCCTTCTTTGATGATGATGAAGATGATGCGTCTGTGGTCACCCTGTGCCAAAGTTTGGATGCATACAGCCTCTCTACCTCTTTTTATCAAGGAGGGTTTGCAGACGCTGCACCAATCTAATTTGATGGAAGGTGCTTTCTACCACAGATGTTACATAATGTTAATTTGCCTCTACTACCACCAGCCTATTCACCAGGGCTTTGCCAAATGTAGACGGTGTCCCTTGGGAACACCCAGGCAATTTGGCACAAAACAGGCCAACAGAAAATTGATACAAGTCTAGTCCCAGTTTCCCTTTTACATAGATTTTCAGTAATTGTATTTGATGGACTATATTAAAGTGTTGACCTTAATTTTTCTTTAAAATGCCATGCACTGTGCTTGCACCAGTTAATTTTCTGCAGTTGCTGGTGAATCCTCATTTACTTTCCAACTTATTGGTATTAGTTCGGTTCCAACTAATGGTTTTTTTAAAAACCCACACACACTCAATAAACAATAAACAACACACAGCTAACTCTAAATATAGAGGAGCAGCACAGTTAAAAATACCATTCCCTTTTTATTATTAGTGCCAATTGTTCTTCGAAATTATGGTGAGGCAGCATACACAAGTATTTTGTGTATGCAGAGATTAATTTCCAATATGCAGGTTCTCTAGGGATATTTATATTCTTCCAATCAGCGCAGAACTGTCCATCAAAAGTAACAATGTAAATATGTACATTTTAACTTGCTGCTGGAAAGTTTGAGATCTGGAGGAGTAATTTTTTTCCCCTTTAAAAAAAGATATGTAGTAAGACGAACTATATCCTTCAGCACAAATGACCTGTATTTCTAGCTTGGCAGTTCATTATAATTTGAAGAAGAGGGTTTGTTGGCCCCAGTGGCTAAGCAACATTAATAGTGAAGGCTTAACAATTCATGGGTCTGTTGAAATCATATTCCCTTGTGTCTGTCGTGGGCGCAAAATGAAGTTATTTCATTGGTGGCAAGGGTGCCAATAGGGCGAGTACATAAGAACATGAGCAATGGCTCAAGAGGCTTCTAGTGGGAACAGGACAGAAAAGACAAGATGGCGTCCTCTTCCCCGCCCCACCTCACAATTCCACAAAGAAGAGCTGACTAGATGGGCTGCTAGATCTTACTTCATCCATCAAATCACACCCAAGGGCAGCAGGCTAGCTTCTTTGGGGAGAGGGGAGAAGCTACATGGTGCACATAACTCTGTCCTACAACACTGCTATTCTTCCACCCACAATTATTCATGGCCTGAGGGAACCGCATCATTCTGCCTAATGGTAGGGCTGGTCTTCTGAGTGGGAAGCAAACATCAGTTGGGCTCAAGGGCCAACCAGCAGGCTTGTCTCACAGTAAATGGGATCAGGCTCCCCCTGAGTTAACATGTGAGGGTGACACCTCCCTGTGGCTGTGTGCTTCTATTATGTGGCCTGAGGGCTTACAATAAACCACTCCAAGGGTTACACTTTGCAGTGGAATCAAGTAGACTGAGGTCTGCGGGAGCTGAGGTATCCAAAAATAGCCAAACACATTTATTTTTTAATTTGACTAATTTCATTTGCAAATCACTTCCCACAAAATATCCTGCGAAAAATATCCTATACAGTGGTACCTCAGGTTAAGTACTTAATTTGTTCCAGAGGTCCGTACTTAACCTGAAACTGTTCTTAACCTGAAGCACCACTTTAGCTAATGGGGCCTCCTGCTGCTGCGCCGCCAGAGCCCAATTTCTGTTCTCATCCTGAAGCAAAGTTCTTAACCTGAAGCACTATTTATGGGTTAGCGGAGTCTATAACCTGAAGCGTATGTAACCCAAGGTACCACTGTATATACATATCCCATCTGAAGCCTGAAAATACAATTACAGGCTGGGATAAAAAATATCCACTTAAAAGGCTTCTCTCCTTTTGGGGGGTAAAATTACTCACCAGGAAGATATTCAGACAGAGCCAAAATAAAAATAAATTACTTGTAAGGAAATGGACATTTAAGATACAAGGGCAATATAGAGACAGGGACATAGGAAACTGCCTTATGCTTCAGCTGTTGGGGACGGGCAGGCGCCCAAAGGGGGATGGAATGTGTGGGCAGAAGAGGCAGGTGAGGAGAAAGATTCATGAGAAGGGGCCTAGGACTTGTGGGGAGATGTGCCCCCCATGAGGAAGGTACCAGTGGTGAAAGAGGGGAGCCAAGAGGAGAAGATCAGGCATCCAGAAACGGGATAAGGAGATTGGAGAAGAGGCATGGCTTTGGAAATCCCTATGTGTCCACCCCCCACCCCCAATGTCTCTGTGCTCAAGGAGGGGCTTGAAGGCCAGGAAGAGGTAGAGTTGCCATTGAGGAGGAGCCACTGAGTGCTTGAGCACACTGCATCAGGCAAGGGCGTTTAAGAAGGCAGGAGAGGGTGGGGGGTCCATGCTGCTGCTTCAGCTGTCTGTCAGGGAACACAAGCCTGCAGCTAGTTAGCAGGGAGTCCTGTTGTATTCACTTGCATGTTAGGAGCTGATGTAACTGAGTGCTTTGCTAATAAAGAACTAAAAATCCAGTCGCTCATCCTCATTGGTCTGGGCGTATTCGGGACATTAGCTTAGCTTACACAGACTGGTAGTGGCTCTCAGCCAGGAGGGACCTTCCCTACCCTACCAGGCGATGCCAGGAACTGAACCCGGGACCTTCTGCAAGCCAAGCAGGTGCCCTACCTCTGAGCTAAGGCCCTTCCAAAAGGCAGAGCCATTTAGCACTTCCTCTTTGCTTCTCGTGCCTGGTTTTCCTTTTTCTGAAAACAGCCAAGTTACACAAACAAAGTGAAAAACAAAACAAAACAAGTCAATGTCACGAGAAACAGAAATGGTTAAAATCTAGGGAGTGGAGAGGTGATGCCATTGCATTGTATTATGCATATATTCTCCTTTGTTCTGAGTCCAGTCACTTGCCACCTAGAAAACAGAGCAATAAGATAAATGCTCCAAAAGGAGCATACTTTTTTTTTTTTAATAAAAAAGAGAAATACACACATACACACGAATTACTTCCATCATTTCTGAACTCTGCCAAGCATTTTTAATAGATATGTGCCCTCAGCTCATCTTTTGCATGCTAACAATTTAATCTGAATACCAATATAGACACAAAATAAACGATTGTTTCCTGCCAGAGGTATCTGCCGAAGAAATCTTGGAGTAAAACATTGTCTTTGCAGCTCATTGTGTCTCTAATTAGAGTGGAAGGAGGCAGAATCTTGGTGGTGTCTGTCTGTGTTTAGCATGCCCTGGAGCTGGGAGCTCTCCTCTGGGTATCAAAGTGCCCTAATTAAATGAGGGGTCCACAATACAGCACTAAACATCAGAGTGAGAGAAAGAGTCCAGTGTCCTCAGTGCCTTTGAGAATCCATGGCCCACGCTAATTACCCATTGTTGAATCGACTTCCCCATTCTGTGAGAAATGAATGGCTCTTCTTGCCCTCCCTCCCTCCCTCCCCTCCTCCTCTGCCCACCCTCCCTTCGCCCCCTTATATGTTACCATCTTTGCTTGGGCCGCCTAATTAATCTTATGGAAATCTCCCGAAGCCAGATTTCAGCAAGGTTGCCCCGATGTTTATAATTTGATTTGTGATGATAAAAGTGAAGGCACCCGGTGATGGAACAGTGTCATTTTCAACACTCTTGAGAATTGAAGAGGCTATCAATCTTTCCCACGTGCATGGCAAACTGATATCCTAGAAAATTAACTTCAATTAATAACAGAAATCCCCAGACGCTCAGGGAAGTCGAGATGCTTTGAAAGAGAACCTTCAAAGATGTCTCCGGATTGTCTTTTATATGCAGCCTCTGCTTTTTAGATATGAGAGATTCTCAATGAGGGAATATGCAGAGAATGTTTTGCCCCCTCTCTAATTTCAGTGCAACGAGTTAACATTTTATATTTCATTCTGGAAGAAGTTAACCAAATGTCTCCAGGTTATATCAGTCCTTGTTTTGTCTCTCCTTGGTTTTATTTCGTGAGCATTTCACCAAGTAAAGGAGTGATGAAATAAAGCGATTAAAAACTCAACACCCCCCCCTTTTACCGTAATACTGCTGGTTTGTGTTGTTGTTTTTTATTTAATTATTTGTCAGCATTATCCCTGTTTATGTTGACAAAACATATGAGCTACAGAGGAATATTCCCTCAGATTACTTACTTAAAATGATTACTTAAAATGCTGCAATAAGTGGAATGATGCAGGGACTATACTCCTATAAAAAGCAAACCTGATTTCTGAGGAACAAACTGCACTCTACAAAAAATTATTATGTCTGCACTTTTGAGTGCCATCTGCACATTCGAGTTTGAGAGAAGCTAATGGTTAGACAATACTTGAGCAGAAATTCCTGCGGAAAATGGAAGCAGATGTAACATTTCACCACAGTACAATAAACAAAATTTCCTATGCACAGGAATCTTGTGTATGCCACTGTCCAGTCCAGATTTGAAATGGTGTTATATGACATAACCGAATAATGTGACAAAATTATGCAGGGACTGTTAATTAACTTGGTGTACGTTGCAAAGATAAAATCATATCCAGCATTATAGTTAATTCCTTGCTCATCAAGGCACTTTGATAGAGATGCATATGTAAAGATACAGTCTTAAAAGCAGGGAACGGGTTAAGTTTACAGCTTTTTTACATTCTTGCTAGAATCATCGCAGGAATGAATTCGTGTTTTGCCATTTCTCATTCTCATTACAACCTTTGTTACGAGAATGAGGTATTAGGATTTTAATGCCTCATATAGCCTGTGAATTATGTTAGTGTGCCTTACTACTTTGACCTTCTAAGTATTCTATAATTTGATTGGCTGGCAATTCCGGTCCAACTCTTGGTTGACAGCCGTTGTAACCTTTCATGCAAAGGGGGACTGCCAATCCAATCAAACACACAGAATATTTGAGAGGTCAAAATCCATTGTGTACTGTCACTATAGAGACTTCTAATCTGTCGGACATAGAGACTTCTAATCTGTCGGACGCCTAAATGTTTTGATATGTAGAAAACAAACAAATCACTCTAAGAAATGGAGATCAAGATAACAAAAAGAAGTCAAACAAATGCAAAGCCAGCTTTATTTCCAGCATTTCTTTTCCTTTTCTTTTTTGTCATAGTCCTTTGACAGATACACTTTAGAGAGAAACTGATAAGAAAAATAAACTCTTGTATTATAATGCTGTCAGGATTCTCTCAAATCTCTAATTAAAACTAAAAGGGAAGAAAACGAAACCCTAAGAGGAAAATATGAAGAAAATGAAAAAAAGATAATGAAGGAAGCTTTCTGCAGTTTATAGGAATGCATGCGTGTTGCATTGCCCAAAGGAGTGCAGTGCAATTCTCTGAATGTTTACTCAGAAGTAAATTCCATTGAGTTACACGGGCTTTATTTGAAATAGCTTTGTAGGGGATTGCAGTTGTAACTAGACATATAGGCCACGCTAGACACCTAGAACTATAGCCATCTCTTAGGGTAGCAGTTGCTGCTTGTGCTGGAAGCAAGGAAATAGTTATGTACCACATTTTCCCAACGTAGAACCCAACATGATTTCCAGGTGATTTCTTTTCTTCCCCCATAATTTTTTAATCGATTTTCATAAGTTTAACAAATTCAATTTAATTTCAATACAGTATTTCCTTAGCATTTTGACATCCTATCATTAATTCCATGATGTTTCTGTTCAAATCTTTTATCTGCTGCCTTGAATACAATACTTCCCTCCCCCCCCGTAAAACATATATCCTACATTGCATTCCTTTATCATTCTCATTCCTTTGCTTGTATTTCAAATCCTGCCTGCAATTTCATTTGACTATAGTATTTTCTCAGACAGTCCGAAAATGGTTTCCACTCTTCCACAAGCATTTCATCTGTTTGGTCTCTTTATTTTTGCAGTCAATTTCACCATGTCCACATAGTCCAAAAGTTCTAGAGTCCACTCTAAAACTTCTTCTTCTTCTAAAACTTCTTCTTCTAAAACTTCTTCTTTCCATTTCTATTTCTACCCCAGACACTGACTTCTTAGCATTAGCAGACAAGTGGTTTCATACAGTTTCAGAGCATATCGTAGTCACTGTTGTGCTGTCTTTGACTCCACAGAGGAGTTGGCAACCTCACCGATTCGTTTACAAGGCAATATATAACACTGGTCAACAACAGATTTGTTGTCTGCGTTTTTTTCAGTTGATTTAGGACGAATCTGATGTGCTGAATCCAAAAATCACATTGGTTTTGCTCAATCAGGTCAAGTTTTTGAGCTATGGCCACATGCTTTTTTAAACGTTTTTGTTCACATGTACGCTTGTGTGGAGCATTTTAGAAGAAGTTGGTGGGGGTAAAATGCCATGTCGAATAATTGTTTTGATTGGAAATGATTATTTTAATGACAAGAAGTATTCAGGTCCGATAGTTCTGGGTGATTATGTCGAAAAGGGATCACCAAGGCTCTGGACAAGGATGGTGACTGCTTCACTTACTTGTGCCAGCCTTTTCCAGGATTGACCATGGAGAAGTTGAAAGCTGGCATCTTTGACGGTCCTCAGATCCGTCAGCTCATCAGAGATCCAGAGTTCGGAAACTCAATGAACGAAGTGGAACTGGAAGCGTGGAAGGCATTTGTTCTGGTAGTGAAGAACTTTCCTGGCAACAATAAGGCCAGAAACTACGCAGAACTTGTCAGCAACATGCTGACTGCTTTCAGAAACCTGGGCTGCAACATGAGCGTTGCACTACCTGGACCGGTTTCCTGAGAACCTGGGTTCAATGAGTGATGAGCAGGAGGAGAGATTCCATCAGGACATGAAAGAGATGGAGACCAGGTATCAGGGTCGCTGGGACGCAGTCATGATGGCTGACTACTGTTGGACTCTGGAGAGAGACCTCCCTGCCACTGAGCATTCCAGGAGTTCCAAGAAACGGAAGATCAAGCCCTGAAGTTTGAAAAATGGTGAAGCAACATGCAATTTACGTGTACTTACCTTTATCAATGCCCACCATTCAGTTTACAGTAAACCTGACCTGATGGAGAGAAACGGATGCCATTTCCTGATTCAGCAGTGCAAAAATACCCTAAATCAGTTGTAGAAATTTAAACAACATTCAAAAAGTAAAAAATTGTTGCCCAGTGTAATTCTAGCTTAGGCCTGTAGCAGGGATTCCCCTAGTCCAAGACTGGGGGAACTGTGGTCTTCCAGAAGCTGTTGAGCTCCCTCACCCGTCAAGTCCAGTCAGCATAGCCAATGGTCAGAGACAGTGGGAGTTATACTCCAGCCAGTAATTTGTGGAGGGAGGGCTAGAGTCTTCAAGGAGACACCTGACGCAGATTTAGTGTGAACAGTTCACCTGCACACGGTGCCAAGCTGAGAGGGCACCACAACAATGACTTAGAATAGAATGCAAGAGACAGGATGCACCAACTTTTGGCAATGCACAGGGTGCCACTGAAATTTGAAAGCCCAAAGTCTGCTACTGGAGACACCACAGGGTTCGTTTGCTGTCCCTGAACATAACACGGCTGTCGCAGGCGGAAATGTTCATGTGAGGTTCAGCATTTTTATACTGCTTGCAGAACCCTGCCTGCATTAATCTTTAGCACTTCTCTGTGAAGTGTGTGGAGGCAGCCAGAAACTCAAGGGAAGAAGAGGAAGAAGGTCCCTTTACCTCCAGGTAGTTTTGTTTTAATAGTG